GCCTGAAGCACCGACATCCCATTGGGGCACCCGTTCCAGTCCCAGCTGCTCCTCTTCCAATCCAGCTCTCTACTATGGCCTGGGAAAGCAGCAGAAGATGGCCCAAGTCCTTGGGCCCCTGCACCCACGTGGGAGACCTGGAAGAAGCTCCTGGCTTCTGGCTTCAGATCAGCATAGCTCCAGCCATTGCAGCCATCTGTAGAGTGAACCAGCAGTTGGAAGACCTCTTTCTCTGTCTCTACCTCTCTCTGTAACTGTCTTTCAAAAAAAAAAAAAAGAAATCATATATTTGGGGCTAGCACTGTGGTGCCACGGGTTAAATCCCCAGTCTACAGCACCAGCATCCCATATGGGCGCTAGTTCAAGTCCCTACTGCTCCACTTCTGATCCAGCTCTGCTGTGGCCTGGGAAAGCAGTACAAGATGGCCCAAGTCCTCGGACCCCTGCATCTGCATGGTAGACCCAGAAGAAGCTCCTGGCTTCGAATCAGCACAGCTCCAGCTGTTGCAACCATCTGGGGAGTGAACCAGTGGATGAAAAACCTCTCTGCCTCTCAAATAAATAAATTAAATCTTTAAAAATAAATAAATAATATACTTAAAATTTAACTACATTATTAAGAAATACCTGCTCCAAACCCCTTACTAAAAAAGAAAAATCAAGAGGAGGAAAAAAATGAAAAGAAGTCTAGAGAATTTAAGAGATCTGCTCAAAGACAACCAGAAGAGCCAAAATAAGAATCCAACTTTCTAGAAATTTCCAGGACAAGAATGCTATTCTATACTGTTTCCCTTCCAAATCTTAAATTAATAACATTTACATGACCTTGGCAAAATAGCCCAGAAGATTACATTAAATTTCATTTATTAAAATAGTGAGGCAAGTGTTCGCTCATAAGTCAGTGATTTGATATCCAAGATGAACACTTAGGTGCCTTTTCTAATGTTTGGTGGCAGTGTTTTCTAAACAATGAAGTACAGTCTTTCTCACTCATTAAACTTATCTTCAGATACAGGATTATTTTTCACAAGCATTTCTTTATAGTTGATGTATTTTTGAATAGCAATGCAGGTCTATAAAATGCTAAACGAGATCACAAAATTTCTTTGTATGAATATATAACTAGAATGTGTTTACTTCATCTAATATCTATATTAGCTGTTTATTATGGGAAAACATTCCTTGAGTTCAAAACCTACTGATCAGTAATACTGTGGTATACCCCTTCTAGAAATGAAAGGCCAAAAAACTATAGGGAAGGAATATTTATCTGATTTACATACTGTTCTTCCTCTCACTCCAACTTCAGCTTTATTTATAAATACAGGAAATTCTACAGATGACAAATATGTCTTCTCTCTTAACAAATATATCAAAGTTTTAATACGGAAATCACCTCTAAAATGTTAGTTAACACAATGTTGTTACCTAAACATAAGTGACTATTCATACTATCATTAGGGTCTTTGAAAAACCTGCCATGATGGAGTCATATTTCATCAACAAGTTATAGTTACTGTAGATAACAATAAAATTCTTGGGCATGGAACAGGAAAACATGAACGTCAAAGTAGGTCAAAATTAAAAACAAGTAAAAGAAAGAAGTAGAGTAGTGCTTTATAATCCAAATTATACTGTTGAACAGTTAACCATATGGAAGTTCTCCATCTTGAACTTCAAGAATTCATAATGAAGAGGGACTAAAGAAAAGACTGTGGTAAATAAGTTAAGCTATAACCACTTTGACCAAGTATGAAATATCAAAACTTTGTTTCCTGTCCTAAAATTCAGTAATTGGGAAAAAAAAAAAACACTGGAGTAATACAGGACAGTACAGCAGTGACTCAAAAATACTACGGGAGTTGATCACTTTCAGTTTTGAAGTGGTATTTATTGGTTATTTTTGATCAAGTAGCTCAGCAAAAATTTTACAAGGACATTGATAATATGTAAAATTATTTTCAGAAAAACACAAGTGGTTTACAAAGACCTTTTAAAAAATATTTTCTGGGCTCGGCACTGTGGCATAGGGGGTAAAGTCGCCGCCTGCAGTGCAGGCATTCCATATGGGCACCAGTTCAAGTACCAGCTGCTCTGCTTGCTGATCCAGCTCTCTGCTATGGCCTAAAGAGCAGTAGAAGATGGCCCAAGTCTTTGGCCCCTGCACCTGTGTGGGACACCTGGAAGAAGCTCCAAGCTCTTGGCTTTAAACAGGCCCAGATCCTACCGATGCGGCCATTTGGGGAGCTAACTAGCAGATGGTAGACCTCTCTCTCTCTCTCTGCCTTTCAAATAAAATCAATAAATCTTAAAAAAATTTCCTTTAGAGTCTATGTATTGGGGCCAGTATTGTGGTACAGCAAGTTAAGCTGCCACCTGCAATGTCAGCTTCCCATATGAACAACTAAGTCCCAGATGTCCCATTTCTCATCCAGCTCCCTGATAATGCACCCCAGACAGCAGTGGAAGATGGCCTGGACCCCTGCTACACATATGGGAGACCCGGATGGAGGTTCAAGTGCCTAGCTTCAGCCTGGTCCAGTCCCAGCCATTATGGCTATTTGGAAAGTGAACTAGCAAATGGAAGATCTCTTTATATCAAACTCTTTCAAATAAATAAAATCTTAATATGTACTAGGAATGCCTAAGTGTCATTAATAAAAACTTTCTTACAACTGGTTTATACCATATTATACCTATAATTACACCAAATCCTAGAAAAACAAAAACAAAAAACCTGGGCTCAGTAAACAAAGGCTAGGCAGAAATGGAAAATACATAAAAAGGAATAATCTTTATTTCCATATACAATGATTCTCACTGTTGTAGTAATATGAAATGCACATAGCAGGAAGGCATGGACTGACTAATTTGTTCAAGACTCTATTAGAGAGTAGTTAAAATGATTCAGCATGTTAATAAGGAAGATCTTTCAAAAAACTCTGGAATTAACGGGCAACTTTATATTTCATTTAATTTTTTTATTTCCAAAAATACCATTTAAAGTGATATAATTAAGAATATTAAACTTGGGGCTGGTGCTGCAGCATAGCAGGTTAAGCTGCCGGCTGCAGTGCCAGCATCCCATATGGATACTGGTTCGAGACCCGGCTGCTCCACTTCCGATCCAGCTCTCTGCTATGGCCTGGGAAAGCAGTAGAAGATGGCCCAAGTCCTTGGGTCCCTGCACCCGCGTGGGAGACCCGGAAGAAGCTCCTGGCTCCTGGCTTCAGCTCGTCGCAGCGCCTGCCATTGCGGCCAACTGGGAGTGAACTAGTGGATGGAAGACCTCTCTCTCTGCCTCTCCTTCTCTCTCTGTGTAACTCTGACTTTCAAACAAACAAATAAATCTTAAAAAAAAAAAAAGAAGAAGAATATTAAACTAGTACAAAAGTTTTAAATACTATGAGTTTTATTATTCAAATTTATGTAATTATTAAAGTTAGACAAGCTATTACATCAATGAGCCAAAATGTAACCCATTTTCTACTGTTCTCTAATATATAAAATATATTAAATGCACAAACTAGAAATATCGATAAATAGTTTCGATTTAAACTGGTTTAGACTAGAAAAAATGAAGTTTCAAACAACCATTTCAAATACACAATGAGAACATGCACCAATTTTGAAGATCTACATGAAAATGCTCAAGTCTATCGTGAGCTGTGGCTACAAATTTTTAAAAGGCAATAATTAAGAAAATTTCTAGATATTTCTTTTAAATTCAAGTTCTAAATTATGCCTACCACACATTCAAACCAAAAGGCCTTAAACTTCTCAGTTTCATCTGAGGAAGTAATAAAACCAAATTGTTACATAAAATATTTCTAAACTATCACTAATATCCTATCTCAACTTGGTTCAGAATATTTTAACAAATAGAAACAACAGCATTTAATTCCATTTAAAATTCCATAGAGGCCAGTGCTGTGGTGCAGTGGGTCTCTGCTATGGCTTGGGATAGCAGTAGAAGATGGCCCAAGTCCTTGGGCCCCTGCACCTGCGTGGGAGACCCGGAAGAAGCTCCTGGCTTCGGATCTGTGCAGCTCCAGCTGTTGTGGCCATCTGGGGAGTGAACCAACTGATGGAAGACCTCTCTTTCTGCCTCTCCTCTCTCTATATAACTCTGACTTTCAAATAAATAAAATAAATCTTTAAAAAAAATTCCACAGAAAAACAAATCTTAAGAATTAGCAAACCTAAACCTCAACAACACACTTTAGGATACCAGGAATGAAATCCATCCCCACTCCATGCATAGGGGATGGACAGTGTTCTATCTGAAAGTCAACAGAGGAAACACTGAAGCCCGAAAAAGATACTAGGAAGTAGCAGCAAAGACTGGGGGACAACAAAGATGGTACTGCCTTGAAAGGGAAAGCTAGTAAAAATTACGTCCCTTTTTCTCAGGACAAGAGATTGATCTACTTAGATTACTCTCTGATATGTCTTATTTTTCATGAGAACTATTTCTTTGCTCTATCCTAAATACAGCTTGACGTTATAATACTTATTTATAGGTTCTAAATATCAAAATTATTATACTTTCCCATACTTTCTAGATTTTCTATTAAGAACAGCTATAGCCTCTTATTATCAGGAAAATATTAAAATGGAAACATCTCTCAACAGATAGCAAAAGTATGGAATAGGTAATCTATTTTTAAAATTTAAAATCAATATGTGAAATAATTCAAAAGAAGAAAAAGGAAACAGTTATGAACATGAAGTTATTAAATCTAACAGTACTTATAATGGTAAAAAATAAAAACCAAGTTAAAAGTTTAACAATTAAGTAAATTATTATGGTTCATCAACCTGATAATAGATATAAACACTAGGTATTTTAAAATGTATTTAATAATATGCAACAGCTAGGACAAATAGCCAAGCTTTTTAAAAGTTATTTTGTATGAAGTATGCAAAAACATCTTCATTAGTGTTTTCTAAATGTTAAATATATTAACATTTATGCAAAAATACTTAAAATATCTTACTAAATCAGCCCCTGCTTGAAGTAAAACATCTGCAACATCTGTGTGTCCATTTTCACAAGCATAGGTTAAGGCCGTGTCTCCTGTTGCTGTTGTAGCATGCACATTAGCCCCTAGCAAACAGAAAACAATCATATGTTTACTTTGTGAACTGTAAAACTATATTAGTACAATTTTACAAACTGGAGAAATTGAAAAATTCTAAATGCAAAAACATCAGGATGCATTTTAAGTATTCTAATTTTCCTTTAAATATGCTTCTTAAAAACTTATAGCCTTACAGAAAGAACCAAACCAAATTATTTTAAAACACAGTAATCTGCCTCTATGATCCATAGCAAGATATACCTCAAGGAATAAAAGAGTTGAAAAAGCAAAAAATATTAAACAGTTTTCAGAAATCATGTTGGTGGTAGTACTGGTTTGTATTACTGTGAATATGTGGTATAAATCAAATGAGTACTCGGTGAATCAGAATATCTGGTACAATTAATAAAAGAAAACATAAATATAAATACTGTTGAGGACAAATAAAACCCCCATAATTCTGAACTGAAAGAACATGAATTAATGATGCATTTTATCCATGAAAAAACACATTTCCTAATCCTGACCTTCTAAAAAGGTCTGAAGACAGTGTCAGACTAAGCAGAAATGGCATTTCTATCTTAGATTATGGCTGTTAGTACGATTTCCTACAAAATGAAATTAAGGCTTCTTAGAGAAATGATTGATTTCAAAAAGGGAGCACAAACTGTACAAGATGAGCCTGGAGCACTTTGCTATAACAGAAAGTAATCAAACTACCAGACACTATGAGGTCATATCAAAATGATTAGGAGCTAAACTCAGTGACCAAAGATACTGAAACTGTTAGATCTTTATCAGAAGATGTCTGCATCAAAAAGAACTGTGATGAATTAAAATCATTATATTTAAATTCAAAAGTTCAAAGTGATGTTCAATTTAAAAACAAAGAAAACCACATCAGTAGTCACCTTTGGAAGATGTTACAGAACTACCTCATTATTTTGGAAACTGGTAAATAAAAGAGGAAAATAATCAAACACTTATTCTGCCATTCCTATATAATCTGTACTCAAGAACAAATAGTTGATGAGGGTGTTTCTCTTTAGAGACATACTCCAGAAAATAAACAAGAAAGGAATAATAAAAATAGAAAATTACCTTAGTGTAAACCTTAGTGAATTAATGGATCTAAGCAACAATCATTAATGGCTAATAATATTAAAAAAAGAGGAACAAACATTCATTATCTTCTAAACACAGTACACAAATACTATTTTTAAGATAATAAAAACAGAGGCTGGCGCTGTGGTGCAGCGGGTTAATGCCCTGGCTTGAAGCGCTGGAATCCCATATGTGCACCGGTTCAAGACCTGGCAGCTCCACTTCCTTTCCAGCTCTCTACTATGGCCTAGGAAAGCAGTAGAAGATGGCCTAAGTCCTTGGGCCCCTGCACCTGTGTGGGAGACCTGGAAGAAGCTCCTGGCTCCTGGCTTTGGATTGGCACAGTTCTGGCCGTTGCAGCCAATTGGGGAGTGAACCATCAGATGGAAGACCACTCTCTCTCTCTCTCTGCCTCTCCTCTCTCTGTGTAACTCTTTCAAGTAAAATAAATAAATCTTTTAAAAAAATTAAAATTAAAAAAAAAATCAAACCTGACTAGTCTATATCTAATTACTAATCTACAGAAAATCCAAGGGACAGTAAAACAAATTATATGAAATCACAGAGATATAATCAGCAAATAAATTCTACACTCTAGGAAGCCTAAAGGATAAGCACTCCAGTTCTTCAACCAAAAATCTTCAGTAAAATGAATGATGAAAGGAAGCCCACAGATTGAGAGACTTAAGAAACATATTTAGCTACAGTGATTATGTGAATTTTACTTGAATCTTGATTAAAACAAACATATAAATATACATGTTTCTAAGACTACCAGGAAAATATGAAAACTGGTTGGATATTTGCTTAAATAACTATATGGGTTGTTAAATAACAATATGGGATGTGGGTGCCCCAGGTGGATTAACCTACTACATCACAGTGCTGGCTCCTTGCTGATAACTTCATAAAACTCTAAAATAACTTATTTTCAAATTATACAAAATTAAAACTCAAAAATGTTTATTTTAAATCAAAATAATTTCAAAGGGTCAGTATTGCAGCACAGTGGGTTAAGCCATAGCTTGCAAAGCCAGTATTCCATTTGGGAGCATCTGTTTGAGTCCAGGTTGCTCTGCTTTTCATCTAGCTCACTGCTACTGTATTGGGAAGGCAGAAGATGGCCCAAGTACTTGGACCCTTGCCACCTTCAAGGAACACCTATACATAGTTTCAGGCTCCTGGACAAGATCCAGGTATTACATCCATTTGGAGAGTGAAGCAGTGATGGAAGATCTCTTTCTCTCTCTCTCTGTTATTCTGCTTTTCAAGTAAACAAGCAAAAAAAAAAAATCCTTCATAAAAATAAGGGAAGGGCGGCACTGTAGCGCAGCATGTTAAGCTATCATCTGCAGTTCTGACATCTCATATGGGTGCCAGTTCAAGTCCCAGTTGCTCTGCTGCCAATCATCCAGTTCCCTGATAGTGTGCCTGGAAAAGCAGCAGAGGATGGCCTAAGTCCTTGGACCTCTACACCCATGTGGGAGACCCAGAAGAAGCTCTTGGCTTCGGACCAGACCAGCTCTAGCTGTCGCAGCCATTTGGGGAATGAACCAGCAGATAGATGATATCTCTCTCTCTTTTCTCTCTCTCTCTCTCTGTAACTCTGCCTTTCAAATAAATAAATCTTTTAAAAAATAAGTAAGAGATGTGGAGGACTATAGATGGAATAATAAACACCCATAGATGGAATAAATTAAACATCACCCAGTTAAAAGTGGGTAATGGGATCTTAGGATTCCTTATTCTATGTACTCTATATATTTGGGGGAAAAATGCCATAACAAAGATTTTTAAAATGTTTTTAATTGTAAAAGCAATTTATTAAAAGACCTATTGGATTTTTCTTTAGCTCTATACTATAAGAACTTAATGTAAATAAATCAGCCTGAAACCCCTAAGATAGTTCTGAGAACTACATACTTCAAATCAGCAAAAGGAACTAAATATGAGAATCAATGGTGATGAAACAAAACAAAAAAACAATGACAGGAGTTCTAAGCTGAAATGCTGATTCTATCACTATTAGCTTTGTTACTACATGGATGTTAGATAACAGCACTGCATTAGTTTCATTACCCACAAGAATGTGTTTAGTATTTCTCACTATAATTAATAGAGGTAACAAGAATTGAGAATTATTTTTAACGGTTTATTTATTCATTTGAAATGCAGAGAGGAAGAAACACAGAGAGAGATGTTCCATCTGCTGGTTCACTCCCCAGATGCCTGCAACAGCTCAGGCTATGCCAAGCCAAAGCTAGAAAGCCAGGAACTCCATCTAGATCTCCCACATGGGTGGCAGGAGCCTAAGTATTTGGGCCATCTTCTGCTGCCTTCTCAGGCACATTAGCAGGGAGCTGAATTAAAAGCAGAGAAGCTAGGACTCAAACCAGCACTCAAACATGTGGTGCTAGCATCATAAGTGGTGGCTTGACCCACTCCCCCATAACCCTAGTCCCATGAATAATTTCTTAATGAACATTTATATGTTCTTTTAGTTTGTTTTTTAAGATCTATTAGAAAAGCAAAGAAACAGAAACAGACAAAACTCCTATCTATTGTCCCACTCCCAAAATGCTTTTCCGTGGACAGGGCAAGCCAGGAGCTGGGTATAAAATACAAGTTTTCCACTGAGTGGCAGAAATCTAATTATCTGAGCCATCACTGCTGCTTTCCAGGGCATATAACAGTAGGAAGTTGGAATTAGGAGCCAGGGCCAGGCATCAAACCCAGATCCTCTATTCTGAGATGCAGATATCTTAATCATTAGGCCAAATGCCCACTTATTTATTTCTTATTTTAAAAATATTTGGGAAGAGGAGTTGATGCTGTGATTAAGCTGCTGCCTGCAACATTGGCATCCCATTATGAGACCCAGCTGGAGTCCTGGCTGCTCCATTTCCCATCCAGCTTCCTGTTAATGTGCCTGGGCAAACAGAAGAAGATGGCCCAAGTGCTTGGGTCCCTGTCACCAACCTGGAAAACCCAGATGGAGTCCAAGCTCCTGGCTGTCGCTCCCCGTCTTCATGGGGGAACGACACTAAACCCTGCGCTGTTCTTTTGTCTGCTCGGCCCTCCCCGGGTTTGCTGCTGGTTCTTCCCGGGTTGGCTACTGACCCTTCCACCTCCGTGGAAGGGCGGTTCCCCCTGGCCACTTTCCCCACTTCCGCAGGGGAGCGGCACACCGCCGGCCGGCTCTCTCGGGGGCTGCACAGGTGTTCCCTCAGACGTTCCCCTTAGATGTTCCTGGTGCATGCCGTCTCTCTCCCCCCTTATAGTCCTCTTCCACCAATCCCAACTCTGCTACCCACACGCCGAGTACGCTGCTCTCCTCCAATCAGGAGCAGGTCCCACAGTTTATTGGTTGAACTGGGGGCAGCTGTGTAGAAGCTGTTTTCTCCTCTCCCAGCGCCATATTGTGGGAGAGCAGATGCATAGAATAAGTCTTAATTCCAGTAACTTAGTCTAGTCTGAGTTGCTCCCCACAGATCCCCCTTTCTTTTTATTTTTTGGCGTTGATACGCGCCTGTCTTCGGTGCCCCGCGGCACACACTCTGCTCTGCTTGCTAGAGTTGCCCACAGGTTCTTACAAGTCCTATCAATCAGGCAAACCGAATCCGGGTCCTCTCTTCGCCATGTTGTGAGGAGGTTTTTAGGCGCTGATGCGTGCCTGTGTTCGGTGCCCTGCAGCGCATGCTCTGCTCTGCTAGAACTGCCTGCAGGTGCTTACAAAACCTATCAGGCAAACCGAATCCAAGCCTTCTCATTGCCATATTGTGGGGAAACTTATTGGTGTTGATTCGTGCCTATCTTCGGTGACCTGCAGCTCATACTCTGGTCGAGCTGCCTGCTGGTGCTTACCGCCTTACTAATCAGGCAGACCGAATCCAAGCCTTCTCATTGTGGTATTGTGGGGAGACTATTGATGTTAATTCATGCCTGTCTTCGGTGACCTGCGGCGCGTAAGTTGCTAGCCGCCCGCAGGTGCTCACCACCTCCCTAATCAGGCAGACCGAATCCAAGCTCTCTCATTGCCATGTTGAGGGGAGGCTTTATTTTTCTCTATATCTCCGGGCATTCCTATTTCTCCTGTTTTGCTTCTATCTACCAGCATTTCTATTTCTCTCATTTTACTTCTAAACTTCTGTTTCTCTTATCCCTGCGGCTTCCCGGCGCCCGCCCCGAGGCTGCTTCTCGGCGGCTTCCTGGCTCTGAGCCGCTTCAGCCCGCGCCTCTCTCATCTGCGCGGCTTCCCGGCTTTGCGCGGCTTGGCTTCGCGCGCGCACTCCGCGGTCTCGCACTAGCCCAGCGTTCCCTATCTACTTGTGCCCCGCACGCTCTCTCTGCGCGCGGCAGCCTCCGCGAGTCACACAGCCCTAGCTCACGTCTCCGCCACTAGTATTCAATCTAAGTTCCCCGGGCTAACCTGGCGAATTCAACCCAGCTCACGTTTCCGCCCTACGATTTGGCTTCCCGTCCTTTGCTCCCCGGGCTAATCAGACGGATTCCAACCTGGCTTATGTTTCCGCTTCTGGTTTTAACTTTTCGCCCCTTATTCCCAGGCTAACTCGACGAATCCCAAAGTGGCTTTCGTCTCCGCCTCGGCCTGCCCCCGCGGCTTCGATTTCCCTAACATTTTTCTCTACCCGGTATATTTCCCCAAGCTTTCCTCCAACAATACTCCTCCCTCATTTCTCCTGGCTTCTCCCCACAGTCCGTATCCGAGTCTGTTTGTTCTAGCTTTCACTTTCGACCTTAGAGATTTCTCCCAGCTTCCCCCCGTAGTCCGTATCTGAGTCTAAGTTTCTTCTTGCTTTCACTTTAAATCCTAACTTCTTTCCCACAGTCCGTATCCGAGTCTATGCCTAGGCTTTCAATAGCTTCTTCCGGCACCTTTTTCGTCCGGCTTTTCCCTAGGCTGTTTGCTAGTCTCTCTCTCCGATATTTTCCACTTCTTCCTGTTTCTTCCCTCCTAGGTTTCCTATCCGAGTCACGGCACCATTATGTCGCTCCCCCTCTTCATGGAGGAACGACACTAAACCCTGCCTAGGCTTCATATCCGAGTCACGGCACCATTATGTCGCTCCCCGTCTTCGTGGGGGAACGACACTAAACCCTGCGCTGTTCTTTCGTCTGCTCGGCCCTCCCCGGGTTTGCTGCTGGTTCTTCCCGGGTTGGCTACTGACCCTTCCACCTCCGTGGAAGGGCGGTTCCCCCTGGCCACTTTCCCCACTTCCGCAGGGGAGCGGCACACCGCCGGCCGGCTCTCTCGGGGGCTGCACAGGTGTTCCCTCAGACGTTCCCCTTAGATGTTCCTGGTGCATGCCGTCTCTCTCCCCCCTTATAGTCCTCTTCCACCAATCCCAACTCTGCTACCCACACGCCGAGTACGCTGCTCTCCTCCAATCAGGAGCAGGTCCCACAGTTTATTGGTTGAACTGGAGGCAGCTGTGTAGAAGCTGTTTTCTCCTCTCCCAGCGCCATATTGTGGGAGAGCAGATGCATAGAATAAGTCTTAGTTCCAGTAACTTAGTCTAGTCCGAGTTGCTCCCCACACTGGCTTTCACCTGGCCCAGCCTAGGTCATTGTGACCATTTGGAGAGTGAACCAGTGTACGGAAAACCTTTCTGTCTTTCCCTCTCTCTCTAACTCTGCCTTACAAATAAATAAATAAATTTTAAAGTAAAGATAAAAAGATAGGGGCTGGTGCTGTGGTACAGTGAGTAAAACTGCTGGCTGCAGTGCCAGCATCCCATATGGGCACCAGTTTGAGTCCGGCTGCTACACTTCCAATCCAGCTCTCTTCTGTTCCTGGGAAAGCAGTAGAAGATGGCCCAAGTCCTTAGGCCCCTGTACCCACGTGGGAGACAAGGAGCTCCTGCTCCTGACTCCTGGCTCTGGATTGGCCCAGTTCTGGCCCTTGCAGCCATGTGGGATGTAAACCATTGGAACCTTTCTCTCTTGTCTCTCCCTCTCTCTGTCTATAACTCTAACTCTCAAATAAATAAAATCTTAAAAAAAAAGAAAACCCCCCAAAAATGAATAAAGTTATGCTAAATATTTTCCTTTATATATAAATTTATGTATCAAGTTTTAATATATATCAATTCTATATTATTTAATATGTATCAATTCTATATTATTTCCAAAGGACATATAAAGATTTACATCATCTAGATGAATCTTTCTCTGGCATATCTTATAAAACTACAAATATCTTATGTAAAAATAATTATTGCTTACCACTACTTAACAATGAATAAAGTAAATTCAGTATTTTACTGAATTTATTTTTGAAGATTTATTTATGTATGATGTCCCCAAACACAAATATTTTAAAACTAAAGACTGCAAAATGGGGCCAGCGCCTTGGCTCACTTGGTTAATCCTCCTCCTGCGGCGCTGGCATCCCATGTGGGCGCCGGGTTCTAGTTCCGGTTGCTCCTCTTCCAGTCCAGCTCTCTGCTGTGGCCTGGGAGGGCAATGGAAAATGGCCCAAGTGCTTGGGCCCCTGCACCCGCTTGGGAGACTAGGAGGAAGCACCTGGCTGCTGGCTTTGGATTGGCGCAGCGCCAGCCGTGGTGGCCATTTAGGGAGTGAACCAACGGAAGAAAGACCTTTCTGTCTCTCTCTCTAACTGTATATAACTCTGTCAAATTTAAAAAAAAAAAAAAGGCTGCAAAATAAAATAAATTAAAAAAAAATTCTACCTGTTCCTTTTTTTCTTTTTTGAGATGACTTAGAAATGTTAAAAATATGAGCAGGTTTAAAGGTACCAAATTATAACCTCTACAATGTCATCTCTTACTTCTTATTAATAGGAACTAACTAAAAGGAACTACCTTCCCCCTCTCAGATGCCACAAACCATTAATGGAAACAAGTGAATGAAAAAATTTACGGTCATTAAGCAAACATTAGCAACAATAAAAAAATCTTTCTTGAAATTACTTTTTGTTTTTAAGGACAGGCATTGTGGCACAGCAGGCTAAGCTACTGCTTAGGACACTAGTATACCATATCAAAGTGACTGGTTTAGTCCCAGCTACTCCACACTTCCTATCCAGTTTCCTGCTAATATGCTGGGAGACAGCAGAGGATGACCCTAGTACTTAGGTTCCTACTACCCAAGTAGGGTATCTGATTGGAGTTCCCAACTCCTGTTTTCAGTCTGGCCTAGCCTTGGCGACTGTGGCATTTGGGGAGCAAAACCAGCCGATTTAAGATATCTTTCTGACCTCCCCACTCTGTCACTCTTTCAAATAAAATGAATACAATTTTAAAAATAAAATAACAATTTTTAGAGATTTAGGAGTCTAAAGAAGAAAAGTTAAATTGTGAGGCCATCTTCCAACTTCTATAAAAATGAAAAAGTTAATTTGTTAAAGTTAAGAAAGCAATACAAAAGGTGATTTTAATTTTTATTTTTAACTGACAACTACATACAAGGGAGGTTCAAAAAGTTTGTGGAAAATCTTTTTTTTTTTTTTGAGAGGCAGAGACATATAGAGCTCCTATCCAGTGATTTAAATTTTCAAATGCCCACAATGGCCAGTTGGGCTGAAGCTAGGAGTCAGAAATTTGATTCAGGTTTCCCAAGAGGGATGAAATCAAATACTTGAGCCATCACTGCTGCCTTTTGGGGTCATATTAGCAGGAAGCTGGAATCAGAAGCTTGAGTCAGGAATGGAACACAGGTACTCTTTCTGACATTGGATCCAGGTGTACTAACCAGCGTATTAATTGCTCGTTGAATGTGTACCCTACATCATCTTTTAATTCATTTCCCACAAACATTTTGAAGACCTCTCATGTGTTTATGGAGTACAATGAGATATTATAAAATATGTATATGCTGCAGATTGAATAAACCAAGTTAGTTAACACTCAACACCTCACATACTTATCATTTCTTTGTGATGAGAAAATTCAGTCTACTTTTTTTCCCCCCATTTTTGTCTAACACACAGAAAGATGAAGAGGCAGATATCTTCCAACTTGGGCCAGTATAGCGGCATAGCAAATTAAGCTGCTGCCTGCAATGTCAGCATCCCATACAGGAACACCGGTTTGAGTCCTGTTCACTTTGCTTCTGATCCAGCTTCTTGCTAAGGTGCCTGGGAAGGCAGTACAAGATGGCCCAAGTGCTTGTGGCCCCTGCCATCCACATGGGAGACCAGGATGAATTCCAGGCTCCTGGCTTTGGCCTGGCCCAGACCTGGCTGTAGTGGCCATTTAGGGAGTGAACCAGTGTACGCTCTCTAGCTTCCTCTCCTACCTTCACCCCCTTCCTCACTTTCTTTTTTAAAAAATTTAAATAAAAGGAACATATTTCATATAAACAGCTTTAAGAACAAAATGACATTTCATCTTCCATCTGCTGGTTCACTCCCCAAATGCTCATGGCTAGGGCTGGGTCAAGTCACCATCAACAGGCTGTGCATTAGCAGGAAGCTGGAATTGAAATGAAGCCAGGACTAGAACACAGATATTCTGAAATGGAATGCAGTATCCCTTTCAGCACTTTTGAAAGATAGATTTGTTATTAACTACAGACATCATGCTATGCAACAGATCAGTACACCTATTCTTCCTATCTAAAGAAAAATTACTCTTCTCTTTTCACATCTATACACTTTGACTCGACCCTTAGACTTGGGCAGCATTATACTTTTCTCTACTTCTAAGAGTTCAACTTTTTTAGATTCCACATGTAAGTGAAGTATTATTTGTATTTGTCTTTTTGTACTCTAAGACATTTTAAAGCCACTTACCAGCAGTCAGCAAATATTTAACTAACTCCAGGTGTCCCTCCTGAGACGCTTCCATCAGAGGTGTGGAGCAGCCAAGTTCTATGTCAGCCCCTGCCTTAATCAGAAAGTCTGCAACTTCAGAAAATCCTCCACAGCAAGCCAAGGTAAGAGCAGTTTCTTGGGTTTCTTCTGTCTGGGCATTAATATTTGCTCCTAAGAAAGTATAAAAACAGATAAAAATAACTGCAGGCGACTTCTAAGGATATTAGTGTTCTGAAATGTGAGTATCATCTCTACTTTCTCTGCTCTGTAGCTCTCTTCAGAATTTATTTTATCATCAATGCCAAAAAATATTCTAGTTGTAGTAACTTCACTGATACTGACCAAAAAAATGCAAAACAAATTGATTTTTCTAAAGCAGTAAAACTGCCTTACCTTGTGCTAAGAGCAGTGCCACCATCTCTTCATGTCCTTCTCGAGCAGCTTCCATCAAGGGAGTATAACCTTCATCATTAACTTCTTCAAGATTTGCTCCCCTTTCAATGAGTAGAGCTGCCAATTCAACATGTCCTCCACAGGCAGCTAACGTCAATGGAGACTCAAATGAATCTGCAGGCATGTTTACTTGAGCACCACTATCCAAAAGTAAACGTGCCACTTCTACATGTCCATCCTGCAGATTTTCAGAAGTAAAGCAAAAAGGAGAGATATTTTAAGTGGGAGAACAGATTGAACACAGAAAACAGGTAAGTTTTAGCTTACATGGCATATTTATTAGCATGCTTATCTGAGTCTTACCAAAAATCAATTAATATTTTTAAATTATTTTACCTTACTTTTGAGCAAGCCCAAAATCTTCCAAAGAATTGGACTTGGTGTCATCCAATCATAATTCTTAATTTACACAAACTTTGAAGCAAAAACTTAAATCCACATGGTATCTCAAATTAATTACTGTTTATATACTGCTAGGTCATACAATCAAATTCAGGTGTCATGTTCCAGTACAGAAACTGTATTACATCTATTTTAGAAACAAAGGTTTAACAAGAAATATAATACAACAAGCACTGTGAGGTCATTACCACTGGAATTTTGTACCTAAGATAAACCCCTGTGAACGGATACTACCTAATATTTTTCATCACAACAGCTTGTTGCAATGAGGCAAAGGCTTTTACAGAAGTGTAAAAATAAATATCTAACATATTTAAAAATAATTTTATTATGGGCCCATCTGTTAATTGCTATTAACAATAAAACATTCTATTGGAAGGTAACCATTCAATCCCTCCATCACCATAAATACTCTTCTCTAAAGAACTTCAAATACTTGACTTCAATATTTATGAAAGCCATGAGGTTAACTGTGGCATATAAAGTATGATGCTATGTTGTTGTTTTTTTCTTTTTTTTAAGATTTATTTCTTTATTTGAAAGGCAAAGTTAGAGAGAGGTAGAGACAGAGGGAGAGGGAGAGACAGAGAGAAGTGAGAGAGAGGGGAGAGAGAGAGAGAAAGAGAGAGAGATGAGAGAGAGAGGACTTCCATCTGATGGTTCACTCCCCAAAAGGCCACAACGGCAAAAGCTGGGCTGATCCGAAGAACTTGGGCTATCTTCTACTGCTTTCCCAGGCCATAGCAGAGAACTGAATGGGAAGCAGAGCAGCCGGGACTCGAACCAATGCCCATATGGGATGCCAGCACTGCAGGTGGAGGTGTAGCCCAAATTGCCACAGCACCAGCCCCCCTGTGTTGTTTTATATTTCAAAGTAACCAAAATACTGCTACTGAAAAGAAAATACTAAGTATGGAAAAAAATTCTTTATAAGGTTAATTCTCTCATTAAAGAAAGTTTAATTTAATGTTAAACTTCAATAGCCATCAAAAGTTGCATTATATCTACTAAATAGCTAAATTTAATTTTTGATACAATACTAAATATAGACGATTACATATTTTAAAAGTATAAGGCCAGCGCTGTGGCTCACTAGGCTAATCCTCCACCTTGCGGCGCCGGCACACCGGGTTCTAGTCCCGGTCGGGGCACCGGATTCTGTCCCGGTTGCCCCTCTTCCAGGCCAGCTCTCTGCTGTGGCCAGGGAGTGCAGTGGAGGATGGCCCAAGTGCTTGGGCCCTGCACCCCATGGGAGACCAGGAGAAGTACCTGGCTCCTGCCATCGGATCAGTGTGGTGCGCCGGCCGCAGCGCGCTGGCCGCGGCGGCCATTGGAGGATGAACCAACGGCAAAGGAGGACTTTTCTCTCTGTCTCTCTCTCTCACTGTCCACTCTGTCTGTCAAAAAAAAAAAAAAAAAAGTGAACCAAATATAGGCATTAGCAGAAATGGACCTCAAAATAACTATTAATGATACACTAAGGAAATAAAATTAAAAATGAAGGAAGGGGCTGGCGCTGTGGCACAACAGCGCCCCAGCCTGTGGTGCTGGCATCCCATGTGGCAGCCAGCTGAGTTCAGGCTGCTCCACTTCCGATCCAGCTCTCTGCTATGGCCTGGGTAAGCAGTAGAGGATGGCCCAGGTCCTTGAGCCCCTGCAGCCGCATGGCGGGCATGTAGGAGGCTCCTGGCTCCTGGCTTCGATCGGCTCAGCTTTGGCCATTGTCGTCATTTGGAGAATGGACTAGCGGATGGGAGACCTCTTTCTCTGGCCTCTACCTCGCTCTGTAACTCTTTATTTCAAATAGATAAAATAAATCTTTGAAGAAAAAAAAAATGAAGGAAAAAAACTCTGACACAATACAAATTTTAAAAACCTATATCAATAATTATCTTAAATATAAATGGTCTAAACAAAACAATTAAAAGACAGAAGAGATCTGGGTGGTTGTTGTGGTGAGCAGATCTGTCTTGCTCTTTCTCTCTGTAACTCTTTCAAATAAATAAATAAATTCTTTGATTAAAAAAAAAACTTCCCACCTATCAGTTTTACTCCTAAATATACAATCACTTATGCTAATCAAAAAGACATAAACAAGAATGTTCACAACATTTTTATTCTGAACATTTGGAAATAAAAATCCATCATAGTTACTGTATAAAGGAAATAGTAGCAGATTTATGCAATGTAATACCACACAAAAATGAAAGGGCAAACTACTATAAAATGAAATATGAGTAATCTTATACATATAATGTTGAGTTAAAGATGTCAGGTACAAAAGCATATTTATGAATTATATCATCAAAAACAGAAAAACTAATCATGGTGACAGAAGTTGGAATCATGGTACTCTTAAAAGGAGGCAGAGGATGTGTAAGTAGCCCTCTGGGATACAGTATCTTGATCTGGTCACTACAAGTCTACATATACATATAAAATTTCAAGCTATACACTTGATATACAGCAGTTCACTGTACGTGAATTATACTAAGTTATTTTTGTTTTTTGTTTTTCAATTATTTGAAAGACAAAGTTAGAGACAGCAAGAGAAATTTCCTATCTTCTGGTTCACTCCCCAGATGGCCAGAATGACCAGGGCTGGGCCAGTCCCAAGCTAAGAGCCTAGGTGGCAGGGGCCCAAGTATTTGGACCAGCTGCTACTGCTTTCCCAGGAGCATTAGCAAGGAGCTAGATTGGAAGTGGAGCAGCCAGGACTCAAATCAGTGCCCATTACGGGATGCCAGCATCGCAGGCAGTGGCCTAACCCACTGTACCACAATGCCGGCCCTGTGCTATATTAAATTTTATATTATATATAAAAATATATTAAATACTTTAATCCATCATTTCCAACAGTTTGAAAAAGTTTTTCAAAAACATGTTTCTAATTTACTCTGCAATCAGTTATTTAGAAGAATAATTAAGCAAATAAATTAAATCTTTCTACTGTTAACTGTTTATATAGGTTGTTACCTCATTTTCCTAAATGTACTCTACTGATTACCATAAAATATTGTTATATTCTTGGTAAAACAATGATACAAAGATACCTCATTCAGAAACATAGCATTACATGATGGCAGATTCTTAGGAATAGTGCAAAAGGGCTATAAATTTTCTATCAAACACCCTCATCAAAGAGTAGGCAATAGGCTTCTTGGTTAAGGGGGCTGACTGGGATGCCCAGGTTCCATATTATAGTGCCTGGGTTCAAGTCTTGGCTGTGCTTCTGATTGCAACCTTTTGCTAATGTGAACCTTGGAAGGCAACACATGACAACTTAAGTGGCTGGGTTCCTGCCACCCACATAAGAGACCTGCATTTAGTTCCTGGCTTCCAGCTTCAATCAGACCCAGCCCCAGCCACTGTGGGTTTCTGGCTAGTGTGGCAGTAGACATAAGTTCTCTCTGCCTCATAAATATATATATATATATACATATATATATATATATTTTTTTTTTTTTGACAGGCAGAGTTAGACAGTGAGAGAGAGAGACAAAGAGAAAGGTCCTCCTTTGGCGTTGGTTCACCCTCCAATGGCAGCTGCGGCCGGCGCACCGCGCTGATCTGAAGGCAGGAGCCAGGTGCTTATCCTGGTCTCCCATGGGGTGCAGGGCCCAAGCACTTGGGCCATTCTCCACTGTACTCCTGGGCCACAGCAGAGAGCTGGCCTGGAAGAGGGGCAACCGGGACAGAATCCGGCGCCCTGACCGGGACTAGAACCCGGTGTGCCGGCGCCGCAAGGCGGAGGATTAGCCTATTGAGCCACAGCGCTGGCCCTGCCTCATAAATATATAATAAACAAACAAGTACATTTTATAAAGCACTCATCAAGAAAAGAACTTTATTCCCAATTCCCTACCTGGAACCTGGGCTGCTTCATGACTGCTTTAATGTACAGAATTTAGCAGAAATGATATTGTGCCAGTTCTCAATCCCTCTTGGAATGCTAATACTTAGGATCCAGCAAACTTAAACCCAAGTCACATGAAGAGACTGCCCCTGGTCTGAGGTCTCAGTCTTCCAGTGATCTCCACCAAGGTGCCAGGCATATAAATTAAGTCAATTTAGAAATTTCACCCAACCATTATCTGATGGCAACTACATGAGAAACTAACCACCAAGGAAGACCAGCAAAAGAACAATCCAATTGACCCATTGAACCATAAGTTAAGTGGTTGTTAAGCCATTATGTCTTAAGTGATTTGTTATACAACAGTAGCCAATAAAATAACACAGGCAGGGGCCGGCGCTGTGGTGCAGTGGGTTGACACCCTGGTCTGAAGCGTCCACATCCCATATGGGCACCAGTTTGAGACCCAGCTGCTCCACTTCCGATCCAACTCTCTGCTATGGCCTGGGAAAGCAGTAGAAGATGGCCCAAGTCCTTGGGCCCCTGCACCTGCACCTGCATGGGAGACCCAGAAGAGGCTTCTGGCTCCTGGCTTCAGATCGGCGCAGCTCCGGCCGTTGCAGCCAACTGGAGAGTGAACCATCAGATGGAAGACCTCTCTCTCTCTGTATAACTCTGACTTTCAAATAAATAAATATATCTTTAAAAAAGATAACACAGCTAACAATGAACTTACTTATTCACATCTCAAAAACATTTATACTACCAGGTAATTTTCTCATGATTAAATAAATATGCCTTAAAACCTTCGCAGAACACTCTGAATTTCTTTGGATTTAACGTACTCTTTACAGATTCACATAAATGTATGATATCCATGTGCTTACAAAGGAAGATGAAAAATGATTTCTGGATTGATAGCATTAAAGGTGATTATGCTCTTTGACACATATCATGTAGATTAAAAATGTAATCCCAGATTATCCTTAATAATCAATTACATGTTTTTAGGACATTCATATAGTATAAAGTCAATATATTTTGACATCAATCTGCACAAGAGTTTAACATAAACCTTTAAAAGCATTATAAATAGGTCTATGATCTCAAAATTAAAGTTTAATCAATAATATCCCCAACGCCAAATATAAAACTTTAGGAGTACATTTTACTGTCCTCTTCAAAAAGCAGATACTCAAGCATTAACTGTTTAATTTAAAATCAAATCAAGAAACTATAGAAATCAAACATTAGCTAATAATTCACAAAGGCTTAAGAACATATGACCTTTCCTTCCCATAAAATCTCAAGTGAATGCAATTTAAAATTACCATGCAAGCCTCCATTAAGGCAGTGTGCATCTCATCTGTTTTGTGCTCTTGATCTGCACCAGCTTCAAGAAGAAAGCGAACCATATCCAAATGGCCTTGAAAAAAAAAATTTTTTTTAAAGGATTGACTATCAATTTAATATTTAAGTATTAAAATGGGGAATCTTTTTCTTTCAGATGTCTATATAAAAATTATGCAAACTTATTTTGCATTCAATAAATAAATCAATAATTTTTTACAAAGCCAATCCAAAACAATGAACAGGCTCTCATCAGGTCTTACTATCTAGGTTTTACAGAAAAGTAATCCAAAGCACATAATTCAAGTTAGGTCAAGCAATAATGCTTCCTTTCTTTAATCTGTATAAACTATCAATTCAAAACACTGAGCTCAAACAGAAAGCTGGGTAAAGTATCTTTGGATCTTATGCTCCAGGAAAATAGCTTTAAAATAACCATAAACTCACTATGACACTGGGTAGGCACAAAAAACTCCATTCAAGATAATTCCAATCCTCTGGATATATTTAATATACAAAAGCCTTAATAGCCAGTAAGAAAAGGACACAAACACTTCAATAGAAAAATGGGTGAAGGACATGAAATGATAGATCAAAAAAGGAATGCAAACAAATATTAAACTGATGAAAAAAATATTAAACCTTCCTATTAAAGAAATACAAATTAAAATGAGACACCATTTTTTTTAAACTATCAAAATGGTAAATATTAAAAAGAATGATAATACCCAGTGTTGGTGAGGGTGTAGGGTGGGGTAAAGGGCACTCTCAAACACTGCTGGTGGGAGTGTAAATTGGCTCAACCTTTCTAGAAGGCAATTTGGCAATATGTATCAAAAGCCTTAAAAATGTCCATACCCTTTGACCCAGCAATTCCACTTCCAGGAATTTATCCTAAGGAAATAATCAGAGATTAGGCAAAAATGTCTGCACAAGGATGTTATCACAGTGTTTTTAATAATAGTGAAAAACTGGGAACAATTCAAGTGTCCAACAATAGGCAATTACGGTGCATCCATCTGTTGCATTTGGCAGAGACAGCTAGTACCCTACCCAATATCCATTCTCATTCTTTCTTAGCAGAACTCCAGTTTTATCTGGGTGGTAACATGCTTAACAAAAAGACTACATTTCCCAGCCTCCCTTGCAGAAAAATGTGTAGCCAATGAAATGTAAGTGGGAATTTTAAGATGGAACTTCTAGACTCCCTTAAGAGAATTTACTAAACTGGAAGGCACTTCCTATTTTGCCCTTACCCTCTTTATCATTCCTAGAATATGGATTATTGTGGCCCTCTCTAACATTTTGGCTCAGAAGTAACCACGTACATAGAAACCACATACCAGGATGGTGAAGGAGAAAAAGAGAATTTTGAGATCTTGATGACAATGGAACTGACATACCTGCAATCAAATGGCTTACCCTTGGAATTTTCTTTTATTCAAACTAACTTAAGTTTTGTGACTATTCAACAAAATCTAATCCTAACTGAAATACTATGTGATCATCAAAAATTGTGTGGCAAGAATATTTATTGAAATGTAGAAAATCTTCATGATATACTGCTAAATAAAATAAGCAGACTATTACATAGTGTTAGATTATTTTGTTTAGAAAATATGAGCCCATATGTATATATGTATTTGTTTATAAACATATATAACACACTGAAAGTACACAGTAAAATTTTACATGCTTTTTATCTTTAGATAGTATTATATGTAATTTTAAAATTTCTTTGTGCTAGTCTGTATTTTTCAGGTTTTCTACATCAAGTGTGTATTATTATTATTATTATGTGTATACATATATTTTTAAATAAAGGTTAGAAAAATAAAACAAAAGTTACTAAATAATGGAAACGCTCTAAATCTGTGCTAATTTCATAGGCAACAGAATAAATTTGAATTAAAATAATAAAAAAGATACACTGGGAAACTATACTACAGGAAATAAGCCAAAATGGACTTTTTTATAAACCTCTAATAAACTAGACCATTTTACAGTACAAGGAAAACAAATAATATAAAGTTAACTCAAATACTCAATCCTCAAACATCCAAATATTCAGAGTTGTTATGAAAAATAATTATAAATATTTACATATATGAGTACCTTTGTAGCATGCAAGTGTAAGAGCACTTTCTTTGAATTCATTAGAGTGAGTGTTGATGCCTGCGCCATGATCTAGAAGAACTCTTGCAACTTCCACATGACCTGCACTGGCTGCTTCCATTAAGGGAGTGTGTCCATTTTCATTATGATCTTCTATATTTGCACCTTCATTAAGTAGCACTTTCACAATGTCAACAAATCCTCCAGCACAGGCATATGTCAGTGCAGTGTTTCCTAACAAAGAGCAAAAAGAAATAAAATAAGAAACAATAGATACCATTAAGATTATGCTACATTCTACTTAATACCTCTTCAATTCACTTACATTTAATCACTGCTCTCATCAATGAGTATGCGCACACTGTCAGGTACATAACATCACTCCTTCCTTCTACATAGTGTAGCCACTTCAGTTAAAACAAAAAAAACAGAGCAGCGATGGCGGCAGCAGCTGGGGCTGCAGGCGGTCAGGGCTCCGGGCCAGGGCGGGGGCGCCATCTTATGCCCGGGGCCAGTCGGGAGGCCGGAGAGGGGGCCCCAGGGGGCGCAGGGGACTACGGAAACGGCCTGGAGTCTGAGGAACTAGAGCCTGAGGAGCTGCCCCAGCCCCGCACACCCCGGGAACTCCGGGCCCTGGGCCTGGCTCGGGAGCCTCCGGCAACCAGGAGGAGGAGGAGGAGCCGGGACTGGTGGAGGGTGACCCGGGGGACAGCGCCATTGAGGACCCAGATCTGAAAGCAATCAAAGCCCGAGTCATGGAGATGGAGGAGGAAGCTAAGAAGCTAAAAGAGCTGCAGAACGAGGTAGAGAAGCAGATGAGTATGAGTCCACTTCCAGGCAGTGTTGGCCCAGTGATCATGTCTATTGAGGAGAGGATGGAGGCTGACGCCCGTTCCATCTATATTAGCAATGTGGACTATGGTGCAACCGCAGAAGAGCTGGAAGCTCACTTTCATGGCTGTGGTTCTGTCAACCGTGTGACGATACTCTGTGACAAGTTCAGTGGCCATCCCAAAGGGTTTGCATATATAGAGTTCTCAGATAAAGAGTCAGTGAGAACTTCCCTGGCCTTAGATGAGTCCCTATTTAGAGGAAGACAAATCAAGGTGATTCCAAAACGAACCAACAGACCAGGCATCGGCACAAACAGACCGGGGTTTCCCACATGCCCGCTACCATGCCAGGACCACCAACTACAACAGTTCCCGCTCTAGATTCTACAGTGGTTTTAACAGCAGGCCCTGGGGTCACATCTACAGGGGCCAGGCTAGAGCGACATCATGGTATTCCCGTTACTAAAAAAAAAAAAGTATGTATTAGGAGGAGAGGAAAAAAAGAGGAAAGAAGGAAAAAAAAAAGAATTAAAAAAAGAAAGAAAAACAGAAGATGACCTTGATGGAAAAAAAATATATATAAAAAAGGTATACTGTGGAAGGGGGGAGAATCCTATAACTAACTGCTGAGGAGGGCCTGCTTTGGGGAGTAGGGGAAGGCCCAGGGAGTGGGGCAGGGGCTGCTCATTCACTCTGGGGATTCGCCGTGGACACATCTCTACTGCGGGAGCTGCTCCAGTGTTTCCCTGCCCCACTCCACCACCTTGGGGGCTGCTCAAGGGTAGGTGGGCAAGGGTGGTGGGAGGGTCTTTTTATCCAGGGCTCTGGAAGGACACCAAACTGTTCCGCTTGTGACCTTCCCTCCATCTCCTCCTGCTTCTCACAGTCCCCTCCTGCCTGCTCCTGTCCTGCCAGATCTGCCGCCCACCCCACCCTTCTTTTTCCAGCTCCCTGCCCCTGCAGATTGCCTGGTGATCTATTTTGTTTCCTTTTGTGTTTCTTTTTCTGTTTTGAGTGTCTTTCTTTGCAGGTTTCTGTAGCCCCAAAGATCTCCGTTTGGCTCCCAGGGGCTCCAGTGTAAATTCCCCTCTCCCCTGGGGAAATGCACTACTTGTTTTGGGGGGGTTTTGGTTTCTTTTTTTTTTTTTTCTGTTTTTTCCTTTGCCTTTTTTCCCTTTTATTTGGAGGGAATGGGAGGAAGTGGGAACAGGGAGGTGGAAGGTGGATTTTGTTTATTTTTTTAGCTCATTTCCAGGGGTGGGAATTTTTTTTTTTAATGTGTCATGAATAAAGTTGTTTTTGGGAAACAAACAAACAAACTTGACCTCTCCCAGGCCCTAGCCTCTCAAAATGTCTCACTTTCCTTTTAAAATTAAAGATGCTAGGACAATCTGTTACTTTTCAACTATGTTCCAAAGGACTTTAGAATCTCCCTCTTTCCCCAATACCAAGAAGTTCCTCAGAGACCACAGGAAACAGGAAAGCCTGGGGACCAGGAATGTAAGCTCCCATCTATCTCTATTTATTTGACAGGCAGAGTGAGACACAGACACACAGATATACAGAGAGAGAAGGAGAGACAGAGAGTCATGATTTCACTCCCAAAATGCCTCTAACTGCCAGAGATGCACCAGGTGGAATCTGGAAGCCAAGAACTCTGAGTCTCCCAAAAGAGTGGCAGGGATCCAGCTACTTGAGCTACACCTGCTACCTCCTCACACGTGCATCTGCAGAAAGCTGGATCAGAAGCAGAGCTGAGACTCCAACCCTGGGACTCCAATATGGAATGCAGGCATCCCAAAGAGCAACTTAACTGCTACACCAAACTCATCCCACCCTAACTCTAATTTCAGTAACTCCCCTTTTATTGGCATACTATTATATTTTTGCTTTCACATAGTATTTTGTTTAAAGGTTCGTTGAGGGCCTGGCAGTGTGGCACAGTGGGTTAATGCCCTGGCATGCAGTGCTGGCTCAAGTCCCGGCTGCTCCTCTTCCGATCCAGCTCTCTGCTGTGGCCAGGGAAAGCAGTACAAGATTACCCAAGTCTCTGGGCCCCTGCACTCACGTGGGAAACCCAGAGGAAGTTCCTGGCTCCTGGCTTTGGCTCAGCAAAGCTTCAGCCGTTTCGGCCAATTGGGGAGTGAACCATCGGATGAAGACGTCTCTCTCTTTCTGCCTCTCCTTCTCTCTCTTTCTAACTCTGACTTTCAAATAAATAAATAAATCGTTAGAAAAAAAAAAAAGGTTCTTTGAACAACTTTAAAACCCAATGGATCTGATAATCTCCAAAAATTCTCAAGGAGAAATTAAAATTTTCCTTGATGGCAGCAACCTCTTCGTTGTGTATTTTTTAAAGATTTATTTATTTGTTTGAAAGTCAGAATTACAGAGAGGGAGAGACAGAGAATGAGAGAGAAAATGAATGAATGAATATCTTCTATCTGCTGGTTCACTCCCCAGATGACTGAAACAGCCAGAGCTGGGTCAGGCCAAAGACAGAAGCTTCATTCAGGTCTCCCACATGAGTGCAGAGGCCCAAGCACTTTGGCCATCTTCCACTACTTTTCTCTGGCCATTAGCAGGGAGCTACATTGGATGTGGAGTAGCTGGAACTCAAACTGGTATCCATATGGCATGCCAGTGCCACAGGCAGCAGCTTTACCCACTACACTACAACTAGTCTCTACTGTGCATTTGTCAAAGTAGTATGTATGTACATAGCAAGATGCTATTAACTAAAGCAAGTTTTTGTGATTTTTTTAATTAAATACATTTATTTATTTATTTATTTATTTTTGGACAGGCAGAGTGGACAGTGAGAGAGAGAGACAGAGAAAAAGGTCTTCCTTTGCCGTTGGTTCACCCTCCAATGTCCGCCGCGGCAGGCGCGCTGCGGCCGGCGTGCTGCGGCCGGCGCACCGCGCTGATCCGAAGGCAGGAGCCAGGTACTTATCCTGGTCTCCCATGGGGTGCAGGGCCCAAGCACTTGGGCCATCCTCCACCGCACTCCCAGGCCACAGCAGAGAGCTGACCTGGAAGAGGGGCAACCAGGACAGAATCCGGTGCCCCGACCGGGACTAGAACCCGGTGTGCCGGCGCCGCAAGGCGGAGGATTAGCCTATTGAGCTGCGGGGCCGGCCAGTGATTTTTTTTAACCATCTACTTCCTTCTTTGCTTGAAAGGTAGAGAAAGATACACACAGAGAATTTTTTTTAAGATCGACTTTTTTGTTTGAAAGGCAGTGTTACCAACAGACTGAAGGAGAAAGAGGGAGGTGGAGACAGAGGAAGGGAGTGATGGATCTTCCATCTACTGCTTTACTCCCCAAATAGCTACAACAGTAGGTGCTCCATTCTGGTTTCTCAAATTGGTGGCAGAGCCCCAAGCACTTGGGCTATCTTTGACTGCCTTCCCAGACCCATTAAATGGAAGCCAAATAAGAAGGAAAGCAGCTTTGGTTGGAATTGGCACTGATATGGAATCCAGCATCCCAAGTTGTAGCTCAAACCACTGCACTAAAACAGCAGAGCACAAAGAAAGTTTTTTACTTTTATCATCTTAATTTTATTTTATTTATTTATAAAGGTTTTTTAAAAATTTTATTTATTTGGAAGGCAGAGTTACAGAGAGGCAAAGGCAGAGAGAGATCTTCCATTCGCTGGTTCACTCCCCAACTGGCCGCAACTGCTGGAGTTGGGCCGATCTGAAGCCAGGAGCTAGGACCTTCTTCTGGGTCTCCCCACATGGATGTAGGTGCTCAAGTACTTGGACCATTTTCTACTGCTTTCCCAGGCTATAGCAGAGAGCTGGATTGGAAGTGGAGCTGCCAGTTCTCGAACCAGTGTTCATATGGGATGCCGGCACTGCAGGCAGCGGCTTTATCCGCTACGCCACAGTGCTGGCCCCTATTTTCTTAATTTTAAATCTTTTGCTATGCTTCAGCAATCAGTAAATGCTCCCACACCAAAAATTGTGGTACAGCAATACAATGGGACACTGTGCAACCTTTAAAACATATTTGAAATGATAAAAGAGAAAATAAGTGAAGTCAGAACTACACAGTGTCTAGTATGTATGTATTTTTTAATAGCAGTATGACAATTCAATAGCAAGGCCAGCACTGTGGTGTAGTAGGTAAAGCCCCATCTATACTGCTGGCAACCCATAAGGGCAATGGTTCAAATCCTGGAACCCATGAGCAATGGTTCGAGTCCTGGCTGCTCTACTTCTGATCCAGCTCCCCTGCTTAATGTGCCTGGGAAAGCAGAAGATGGCTCAAGTATTTGGGCCCCTGTACCCATGTGGGAGACCTAGATTAAATTTCTGGCTCAAGTATTTGGGCCCCTGCACCCACATGGGAAACCCAGATTAAATTCCTGGTTTCTGGCTTCAGCATGCCCTAACCCTGGCTGTTGTGGCCATTTGGGGAATAAACCAGTGGATGGAAGATTTCTCTCTTTCTCTGCCTCTGCCTCTTCCTCTCTGTAACTCTACCTTTCAAATAAATTAATTAAAAACAAGAACAACAATGCAATACCTACCTTTATATACCAAAAACATTACAAAAAATTAACATAATAATGGTTACTTCTGCGCCACAAAGATTATAGGACAGTAATCTTCGATCCCTTCCACTTGTCTGCATTGTTTAAATATTCTTAGAATGAGCATATACTGCTTTCATAATCAGACAAAAAAATTAAGTAGGTCTAGTGGGTCACCAACTCTCTCTAAAATGCATTTAACGTTTTCTTTCAATGCATACTCATTTCTTGATTTTCTTTTACCCACCCTTTTATCTTTACAAATTTAATAAGACAGTTTGTTGAGAAATGCTTTCCCCTGATCTTTAACCTGTATTTACAACATGAACCAGAAAAGACATGTATATGCCCTCCTCAGCATAACTCCTTCAAAGAAACATTTTTCCAAAAGATCACTATTCTTGTGATCTGCCACTTGTTTCTTGATTTTGTTTTGTGGGCTTTTTATTAAAGGAAGAGAGGAGGTCGCTTAACCATGCAACAGCAGGGGACAGAAGACTTTTTTAAAATTTTTATTTAACTTACCTAAGTTTCATGAATTTCATATATACAAATTTAGGCAGAGAAGACTTTTAAAGAAAACTATCATTTCAGAACTCAATCTGTGGGGCCAGCGCTGTGGTGCAGCATTTAAAGCCGCCACCTGCAGTACTGGCATCAGATATAGGCGCCGGTTCAAGTCCTGGCTGCTCCACTTCCAATTCAACTCTCTGCTATGGCCTGGGAAAGCAGCAGAAGATAGCCCAAGTCCTTGGGCCCCTGCACCCACATGGGAGCTCCTGACTCCTGGTTTCGGATCATCCCAGCTCCAGCCATTGCGGCCAACTGGGGAGTGAACCAGGGGATGGAAGACCTACCTTTCTCTCTCTCTCTGCCGCTCCTTCTCTCACTGTGTAACTCTGACTTTCAAATAAGTAAATAAATCTTTTAAAAAAAAGAACTCAATCTGTTTAGAATTCAACTGTTCAACTCTCTCAGACATAATCGAAGTATATACTACTAAAAGACAAACTAGACAGCAAAATGACCTACAGTCCTTTATAGAATGTCGTGTTCATTTTGAAAATAAATTAGACTATATCATGCTATGAAAAATGGCAGTGTTTTCATTATTTATTTTATTTTAAAAAATCATATGGTTGCCTCTTAAAGCATAATACATCCAAGGAAACTCATTATCAAATCTACATATTTAACTCAAGATATATGAGGATGCTTCAACAAGTTCACAGACAGGGGTAGGCATATAACCTAGAAGTTAAGACATCTATATCCCACATTAGGGTTGGCCAAGTCCAGTGCCCATCTCAGGCTCCAGAATTTAGCTTCCTGCTAATGAAGACCTTGGCAGGCAGCAGTGATGGCTCAAGTGGTTGAGTCCCTGTCAACCATGTGGGAGTAGACTGATTTCCCAGTTTCAGGGAGTGAACCAGATGGCAGTTCGTTTGCTCTGTCTCTGCCTCTCAAATAAATATACACATAATTTTTTTCAAACTTGTGGAAAAGCAGAATTAAAACATAAGTTTATTTTGGTACAAAAAATTTTTGGAAATCTATTGCTTTTCCTCAGGAATCAAATTTTTAGCTCTCAGAATAAGTATGGTAACTTAATTTCTTTTTCAATTAACACATAATTATCTACATACCTGTTGCAGACTGGGAATTGACATCTGCATCATGAAGTAGTAATAATTTCACAATATCTAAATAACCTCCACTGGAAGCTGCCATCAGGGGAGTTATGTCTCCCTTATTCCCTCGATCTTCAACATTAGCATGCATCGCAAGTAATACCTTTAAAACACATATACACAGGGAGAAAAACTGTCAGTTTTTACTATTAATAGCATTTCCAGAAAATATATCAAACCTGGGAAAATATACTTTTACAGCAAGGGTGACAAAAAATCAAAAATCAACATTGTGGGAAAATATGCTAGTTTTTACTGCTCAAAATGCCAGGTAAGATACTATTACTTTACAGTATAATGGTACTTCAAAAAGTGTGGGAAAAAATGAAATAAATTGAGTTTATATGACACAAAAAATTTCTGAAACCCATACATAATGTTTAAGTAAGTAGGATTTGTTTTAAGTACATAGCAGAAAAATGAACCTCCGTGCATAGCCAACAAAATGAATTCTATGAGAGGCTTGAAAAAGTTGGCAGGTGTTGGTGTGGTGGCACCACAAGTTGAGCCACTGCTTGGGCATCCCATATTGGAGTGCTTGTTTGAGTTGAGCTCCTCTACTTTCAATCCAGCTCCCATTAACGTGCCTGGGAAGATAGCAGAAGATGGTCCACTAGTGAGAAAGACCCAGATGGACTTCCTGGCTCATGGTTTGGGCCTGGCCCACGCCAGGTTGTTGTAGCCATTTGGGGAGTGAACCAGTAGATTAAAGATCTTATTCTCTGTTTCTCCCTATCTCTCTGCCTTTCAAATAAATAAATAAACCTCTTAGGAAAAAAAGAAAATAAAAAAGGTAAACTCATTTTGGTGTAAGCAGTTTTGAAATCCACACAGAATTATTTCATAACATACATTTTCCATGAGCTTTGTATGCATGGATTTCAAATGTTTGGACCAATACAAATATTTTTTAAAGATCTATTCATTTATTTGAAAGGCAGAGTTAGAGAGAGAGAGAGAGAGAGAGAGAGAGAAATTGATCTTCCATCAGCGTGCTGGTTCACTCCCCAAATGACTGCAATAGCTAGAGCATGCCAACCTGAAGCCAGGAGCCAGGACCTTCTTCCAGGTCTCCCACATGGGTACAGAGGCCCAAGTGGTTGAGCCATCTTCTGCGGAATTCCCCACATTAGCAAGGAGCTGGATTGGATGTGGAGCAGCTGGGACTTGAACTGAAGTCCATATGGCATATAGGTGCCGCAGGTGGCAGCTTTACCCACTACATCACATCGTTGTTCCATAAATTTATCTTTTAATTCCCCTTCCCATGAAGTAGTCTAGTATATCTCGGTTTTTTTCAAAATTTTATTTCAGAACAGCTTTAAATTTGCAAATCAAAACCTGTAGTAGTAACATAAACGGTTCCCATATACTTCTTACCTACTTCCCCTAACATCTCTTATTACTATATTTGTCATTGTACATCTGTGCCATTAACCTACTCCAAAAAATGACCCTGGCAACCAATCATAATTTCTTTTTAAAGAATAAGAATGAATAAAACCACAAAATCTTTGCACAATTTTCATCAGTACGGATTACTTCTGCTTACTTGTGCTAATTCATAATACCCTGCTGAACAAGCCAAACACAACAGGCTTTCTCCTTCTTCTGTATGCTCATTTACGCTTCTTCCTTCATCTAGCAATTTGCGTACAGCATTCACATCCCCATCCGAACAGGCTTCTGCCAGACTTCGACTGAAATTAAAAGCATTCAACAATTAACTAATATAGAAAGACTCAGGATCCAAAGACAAAAATACATTAAGTATAAAAAGAAAAAAAATTGTATGAACAAATCTTACTTGCTGAGCATCTTGTTTGCAACTTTAATTAAATATATATATCAACCAAGCCAGAAAGTCAGATGGGAATTTCAAAATAGTTGCTATTTTCACCCTTCAAAATCTAATAATATGTAACAAAACTTTAAAAAAAAGTATTTAAAAGCATTATATGCACAAGTTTTTAAATTCTATCAGTGTAATAAAGTATTCTGAGCTATAGTTCTATGGCTTAAAATTTTATTTGGTAACAATGGAGGTAAAAATCTAAGAAAACAATTTTACTGCAAAATGACTAAATCAATGAGTTTCAAACTTTAACATGTGGCTAATCCTCCGCCTGCAGCGCCGGCACCCTGGGTTCTAGTCCCAGTTGGGGCGCTGGATTCTGTCCCAGTTGCCCCTCTTCCAGTCCAGCTCTCTGCTGTGGCCCAGGAAGGCAGTGGAGGATGGCCCAAGTCCTTGGGCCCTGAACCTACATGGGAGACCAGGAGGAAGCACCTGGCTCCTGGCTACAGATCAGCGTGGTGCGCCAGCCACAGCAGCCATTGGAGGGTGAACCAACGGTAAAGAAAGACCTTTCTATCTGTCTCTCTCTCTCACTATCCACTCTGCCTGTCAAAAAAAAAAAAAAAAAAAAAAAAAAAAACTTTAACATGCATAAAAATCACTCACATTTCTCGTCAAAATGCAGATTCTGACTCAGTAGATCTGGGTAGGACCCAAGATTCTGCATTTCTATCAAGTTCTGAGGTGATGCTGATATTGCTAAGACCAAAGACCATTTTTGAATAGCATAACCAATCAGATTATTCCATTATGTGTAGTAATCCATGCGTAAATCATGTGTAGAAACCATGTATTATTCAACTTGAATTTCCCACAGACTCTAGCATAGTACATTCCATAAGAATGCTAAATAAATAAGATGTGGACCAATTTTTATAACCATATAATATAACATATACACATTCATATATACACTTAAATATAATAGGCATTTGGCTAAAAATGATAAGCTCTTCCAAAATATACATTATACCAAAGCTACTTTCCCAAATCCACTCAAGAAAATGTCTAATACACAGCAGAAGTCATTAAACACATACGTGTCTACTTGTCCTGCATTGTGGCTGTTTTCTGCTCTCATCCTTGTCAGTGCAGCAGCAGCTTCATCCAGCGCACAACTAACTGAGGATGTCAGTCTTCGGAGTACCTCAGGATCTGCAAAAGCTTTACCATCAGCAGTTGATAATTTGCCGATTCCTTCCGTGTGCATCAATAAGGTAGCGCAGGGGAAGAATAAGCATAAAAATGCAAATTGTAATTACATTTCTAAACACTTTTATCTATGACAAAAAAAATGGCATATGCTCCAGCAGTAAGACTGATAGAAGGTAAGTCTAATAATTTCAATTGTCACTAATGTTAAAAAATGATATAACCACCTATATTTTAGTGTATCTTCACAATGCACATATTACCTTGCCCTTAACTGAATTCCAAATTTATCATAATATGAAGTTTATCAAATGAATACAGTGTCTCTTAAAGTGTACATACAAAAAGATCGCTTAGATAACTATGTTATTTTCATGGACAATGAAGGAAAAAAATTCTGTCACGTAACAATCCAACAGTTTCTTCCTTTGGTCAAATACCCACTTAGCACCAATTTCTGGGTCAACATTTTTCTCCCCCATGATTGACTGACTGATTCATTCATTCACCATTTTCAAAGGCAGAGAGAGTGACAGAGTGACAGGGAAAGAAAGAAAGATAAAGATCTTCCATCTGCTAGTTCACTTCCTCAGTGGCTGAAATAGCCAAGTGTGGGTCAGACCAAAATCAGGAACCACGAAGTCTACCTGGTCTCCCACATGGGTGGCAGCTGCTTAAGTACCTGAACCATCTTCTGGGCCTTCCCAGATCCCTTAGCAGGAAGCTGGACTGGAAGAACTTGAACTAGCACCCCAATATGGGATGCCAGCAATGCAAGCAGTGGCTTAACCTGCTGCACCACAATGCCAATTTCTGGAGCAACATTTTGAAGTAATTAATTACTATGAATAAACTAGTTCCTTCTTGTAAACACTGTAACTAAACTTAAAGCAAAATAATAATGAAGAAAGTCATACAACTACATACAATGAATTTATATCATTATTTATAAAAAGCTACCACACAATTTACTAACAAAATAAAGATGAATACAAAGTAAAATTGTAAGATATTATTTTTCATCTATTAATTTAAATTCACAAGAAAAAAGTTGTCTTAGGTGTAAGGTCCTCTTAAAAACTGGTGATAGGAATGTATTCTGATAAAAACTTTGGGGCTTTGGGAACCAATTTTACAATAGTTATCAACATTTTTTCTAAAGATTTATTTATTTACTTGAAAGGCAGAATTACAGAGGGAGAGAGACAGAGATCTTCCATCCACTGGTTCACTCCCCAAATAGCTGCAACAGCTGAGGCTGAGCCAGGCCGAAGGCAGAAGCCAGAGCTTCTTCCGGGTCTACCACATGGATGCAAGGGCCCAAGCACTTGGGCCATCTTCCACTGCTTTCTCAGGTAAATAAGCAGGGAGCTGGATTGGAAGTGGAGCAGCCGGGACTCAAACTGGTGCCAAAATGGGATGCCGGCACTGCAGGCAACAGCTTAATCATTTATGCCACAGCATCGGCCCCAGTTATCAAGATTGCAAATTCAAAAAATCTTTGTAACTCTGCCTTTCAAATAAATAAATCTTAAAAAAAAAAAAAAGATTGAAAGAGTTACAGAGAGAAAGGAGAGACAGAGAGAGAGATGTCGTCCATCTGCTGGTTCACTCTCCAATTGGCCCCAATGGCTGCAGCTGCACCAATCTGCAGCCAGGAGCCAGGAGCTTCCTCTGGGTCTTCCCACGCAGGTGCAGGGGTCCAAGGACTTGGGCCATCTTTTGCTTTCCCAGGCCATAGCAGAAGGCTGGGTTGAAAGTGGAACAGTAAGGACTCGAACCGCTGCCCATATGGGCTGCTAGCACTGCAGGCAGTGGTTTTACCCGCTACACCACAGCACCAGCCCCAAATAAATAAATCTTTAAAAAAAATTCAAATATCCTTTGACCCAGTCATATTGCTTTCCAAATATCTGTCCTATAGAAATATTTCTACAATGTATGAAAAGTTGCAGATATATAAACATATAACAACAGCATTAATTGTAATGTTGAGAAACTGGATATAATCTAAGCATCTTTCAATAAGGAATTAATAAAATGAATTATGATATATCCAAGCAAGAGAATTACTACTATACTCTTTCAAAAGGAGACAGATAGGGGCCAGCGCAGTGGTGCAGTAGGTTAATCCTCCACCTGTGGCACCAGCATCCCATATAGGCACCAGTTTTAGTCCCAGCTGCTCCTCTTCCAATCCAGCTCTCTGCTGTGGCCTGGTAAAGCAGTAGAAGATGGCCCAAGTCCTTGGGCCCCTGCACCCACATGGGAAACCTGGAAGAAGCACCTGGCTCCAGGCTTCGGATTGGCGCAGCTCCAGCCATTGCAGCCATTTGGGGAATGAACCAGAGGATGGCAGATCTCTGTCTCTCCTTCTCAATGTCTCTAACTCTACATCTCCAATAAATAAATAAAATCTTTAAAAAAAATAAAATAAAAAGGAAACATATCACAGCCACTGTGGAAAACAGTATGGAGAGTTTTTTTTTTTTCAGTATTTTTTTTAACTTTTATTTAATGAATATAAATTTCCAAAGTACAGAATATTGATTACAATGGCTTCCCCCCCGTAACGTCCCTCCCACCTGCAACCCTCCCCTTTCCCACTCCCTCTCCCCTTCCATTCACATCAAGATTCATTTTCGATTCTCTTTATATACAGAAGATCAGTTTAGCATACATTAAGTAAAGATTTCAACAGTTTGCTCCCACACAGAAACATAAAGTGAAAAATACTGTTTGAGTACTAGTGATAGCATTAAATCTCAATGTACAGCACACTAAGGACAAAGATCCTACATGAGGAGTAAGTGCACAGTGACTCCTGTTGTTGACTTAGCAAATTGACACTCTTGTTTATGGCATCAGTAATCATCCTAGGCTCTTGTCATGAGCTGCCAAGGGTATGGAAGCCCCCTGAGTTCACTGACTCTGATCATATTTAGACCAAGGCCACGGTCAAAGTGGAAGTTCTCTCCTCCCTTCAGAGAAAGGTACCTCCTTCTTTGATGACCCGTTCTTAGTATGGAGAGTTCTTTAAAAAAAAAAAAAAAAAAAAAACTAGAAACAGACTAGCTATATGATCCAGCAATCCCATTATTGGGTATATACCCAAAAGACATGAATTCACTGTATCAGAGAACTACCTGCACCACCATGTTTACAGCAGTATGTTGATAATAGCCAAAATACAGAATCAACTAAGTGATCTAAAATCGGATCAATGGATAAACAAAGTAAAATAAACAATATTATTCAGCTATATAAAAGAATGAAATTCTACCATTTGCATCTAAACATATGCAACTAGAGGAAATCATGTTGAATGAAATAAACTGAACACAGAAATAAGCTAAATCTCATATTCTCCCTTATATGTGAAGCTAAAATTAAAAAAAAGAGAGAGAGAGAGAGATCACAGGGGCTGGTCTTGTGGCCTAGCAGGTTAAGCTGCTGCCTGCAACAACGGCAACTCATACAAGCACTGGTTCGAGGTCCCACTGCTCCACTTCTGATTCAGGACCCTGCTAATAGACCAGGGAGAGTAATGGAAAATGACCCAAATGCTTGGGCCCCTGCACCTACATGGGAGACCTGCAGGAAGCTCCTAGCTCCTGGCTTCAGCCTGGCCCAGCTCTGGTCGTTGTGGACATTTATGGAAGATTTTTCTGCCTCTTCCTCTTTCTCTCTGTAATTCTGCTTTTCCAATAAATAAATATCTTTTTTAAAAAAAATCATAAAAGCAAAACAAAAAAAGAAAGGCCTGTGTGTATCAGTATTCTTGTAAATATAAAACTTTCATATCTTAGTCAAACCAATGGTTCAGAATAATATACTACTTGAGACAGGTGCTGTGGCACAGCAGGTTAAAGCCTTGCCCTGCAGTGTCAGCATTCCATGTGGGCACTGGCTCAAGTCCCGGATGCTCCCCACCTTCCTGCTAATGCACCTTGGAAAGCAAGAGAGGATGGTCCAAGTCCTTGGGATCCTATACTCACGAGGGAGACCCAGAAGAATCTCCTGACTCCTGGCTTCAGCTCAGCTCAGCTCAGCTCTAGCCTATGTGGCCATTTGGGGAGTATACCAGTGGATGGAAGACACCCCCCCCACCACCACCATCTTTACCTCTCTGGAACTCTTTCAAATAAATAAATCTTTAAAAAAAATAAAAGTTAAAAAGATTGATATACTACTATAGTTTTAATGACCTGTGATTATTTAAAAATCTACTGTATAATGAGTGAAATGGACATCTTTTTATTTGATCATTGTTTATAGCCCTGCCCTATAATCCCAGCAAGCTATGATCTTTTTACTTGTTCAAGTTTATTTTTTTTAAAGACTTTATTTGAAAGTCAGAATTAACAGAAAGAAAGAAAAATCTTACATCCTCTGGTTCACTCCCCAGTTGGCCACAATGGCCTGGGCTGGAGCAGGCAAAAGCCAGGAGCCAGGAGCTTCATCCCATCTCCCATGTGAGTGGCCGGGGCCCAAGCACTTGGGCCATCCTCTGCTGCTTTTTCCAGGCACATTAGCAGGGAGCTCTATCAAAAGTGAAGCAGTCACTTAAAACTGGCACCCAAATTGTATGTTACAGGTTGCAGCTTAATCAGCTACCACCACAACACCTGCCCCTTTAACTATTTAGTGCAGCATTAAATCTTTATTATAATGTAAATTTTAAAGGTGAGAGAGAAAGAAAGAAGGAAGGAAAGAGGAGGGAAGGAAGGAAGAAAGGGAGAGAAGAAGGGAGGGACAAGAGAGAGGGTGGGAGGAGGCAAAGTATTACATTCTTAGAATTTTATCTATGGGGGCCCGGCGCCATGGCTCACTTGGTTAATCCTCTGCCTACGGTGCCAGCATCCCATATTTGCGCCAGGTTATAGTCCTGGTTGCTCCTCTTCCAGACCAGCTCTCTGTTGTGGCCCGAGAGGGCAGTGGAGGATGGCCCAAGGGCTTGGGCCCCTGCACCCACATGGGAGACCAGGAAGAGGCACCTGGCTCCTGGCTTCAGATCAGCACAGCGCCAGCCATAGCAGCCATTT